TCTACGAAGATTTCTTTTGACAGATTTTTGTCTCTCCCACATTCGCCGTAGATGTTTGTGGAATATTTAACCAACTACATTCCAGATCTTATTGTATACCGACATCAACGAACTCTTTCTTGATACGTGTTTCGGTTTCCGGCAAAGGTTCAAACAGGTCAGTGTCTTTTTTGGGCTCATCACTGGCTCCCGAACAAGTGGTTTCCCCATAATCTTTTAACAGCTGAGAAAGAAAGGTGTTTTAAGAGAACCTAACATCTGGAGGTTTACACGTAAATCATTCGGTACTCACCCTGTTAACTTCCAACTTTTGAAGAGCTCTACTTCTCCTCGCTCGTTTCTCAGTACGGTCAGTCACCTCTGGATCTTCGCTGTCTGCTGAATGCAAAGGTCGCTTATTTACCTCGGAAGAATTTTTTTCTGGTAGGGCCTGAATCGTCAGCGCAGCAACAGGAAGAAGTAGCTTTTGCTATCTTTTAAAGACCCCTATAGCTTTTCTCATAGCAATCGGGAGACAAATGACTGCTACAGACAACAGAATGTTCGGACGGCTCGTCAAAATCGGCTCTTTTAACTTGAACAAATTTAACCCATTGTCGCTTCAAATTTGCTTCTTTTGGAAATTTATGCATTGTATGCCCGGTTTTGTTTGAATTACTACAAAACTGGACGACACAGTGCTTTGCCATTACGAAAAATTGTAATATAATCAACCAAACTATAAGTAAAAAAATTGTGACTAGACCGGTAAACAGGGGCTGCGAAGGAGACTTGCACGCGATCATAAAAGAAAGCTTTGGACCTCAGTACAGGAAGGTTCCACCCGTGACGTCACAGGAAAGATATCGCAATTTAAGATGGCGATTGTTTCGAATTTGGAAGAGCTTTTTCAAGGTGAAAATGGACTTTTGAGAAAAAACGAATTTCACATTTGAAGTACTTGATATATTTGCTAAACAGCTATGTGAAAAGAAAATGTACGATTTTTAGGTTTACAGGCCCTTTAACATATAAAACAGTTCAGTTGCTCGTGCCAAAAGGTCCCAGTTGTTCCGGCGTCGCGACTAATCTAATTCAAAAGCGTGAAAGCATTCCTAGAGAGCAGCATGAAATATAGATCATGCAGAACTTGACAAATAACTTTCAGTTTGTACTCTGTTTGTCCCAATTTCGGGTTGACGGAGGTTAAATTGTTGATTAGTCTTCAGTTCGTGGCTACTCTTGTCAGGGAGGAAAACTGGAAAAGAAGCATTGAAAAAGAGGTGGTTCGCAAAGTGCATGTATTCCATCTATTTAAAGTAAACCATCTTCATCACGGATGGTGTCCAAACCCAGTAGGTTAAAAATCGGTGATGTAGTTTTGTGACTCGTTACTTCCTTCCACTCTTTGACGCAATGTGTGACCTATTACTGATCAGAAGCACGGCAACGTAGAGTGTGTTTGGCATAATGCATACTCAGCTAGCACTATGGTAGAGCATTTTTCAAGAAAATCCCGGTTGAGGGTATCCACGTCACTATATGAGCGCTTTACAGAGGGTCCTCAAAACAAATACACAGAAAATTACAGAACTAAAAAATGTACAATAAAGAAAAAAACTGTCAGTATAAATTGTATAACGATAAGTCAATACCTTAATAATTGAAATGAAATAATTGACCTTTAGGATGGCTCTTCCCTCCCAAGGTTTAAATTGTCTTCCATTTCCCATGGCAAAACTGTTTACGGCATCACATTTCGAAAGCTAGAGGAAGGCGTCTGTTTTTCTTTGCACATTCGAACACATAGAGAAAGTTCTAAGTTAAAACTGATCTTCATTGTGGACTTGAAAGAGGACAATTCAGTGATTTATACCGGTAGGTCAAATGTTCTTTGCCGAAAACGGTGAAGACGGAAAGCAATTTGATACTAGCGTAGACGTAAGACACTCAAGCGTTTGTCACGCAAGGCTGAAATTATTTCAATTTTGTTCCCATCTTGTAATTTTACGGCCGCGAACATTCGTGAATAATGCTTTAAACAAACTTGTTTTAACTATACCGCGTGAAGAAAATGATAATTGACAATTTGCTATGGAATGCGATATTTGGTGATTTTCAAAAGCGTTACGTAAGCTCCAAATGTAATGAAATAGTCTCGTTTTTGACTTAAAGCATACCTTAATCCTTCCTAAACAAATTTGTGAAATTGATACGAGCTTGGTTTTTTTTGCGCTTTCCATTAGTAAAGTTTATTTGCCTCTACCCGGAACACTGATTGCCGCCATTTAACGGCTACCAACGTTAAGGCTCGTTTCAGTTTTCCTGAATCTCTGACTGAAATATGAAGACAGTACCTTTTCGGTCTATGTCCCGCCTCTCACGCGGTATTGAGAAAAATTCGTTTGATTCGTTAGGATTATTTAGTTCTCTGACTGATATGTTGATGCCATTCCAGTCGTTGGCTGCAAAGTTTGAGAAGGTCCAAAGACCCCAGTTCCTGTTAGGTGAGGTCTTTCGTACATTGTCCTTAGATTCCGTGTAGTAATTTTGATGATCATAGTTTTTGTTTACGCATTTGTAGATGTACGAAGCTTTGAGATGCTACCTGTAGCACCAGAAAGGCAAGAACAAGAACCAAGTTCGCCTGAAAATAGGATTCGCGTCACGCTTTTGTCTTCTGAATGGGGTTCTAAAAAAGGAGGTATTTCTACTCTAAATAGGGTGCTGGCCGTACAGTTGGCTAAACATCTGCTGCTTGAAGTTACCTTGTTCATTCTGCAATGCAGTGAGGCAGAAAAGAAAGAAGCTCTCCGCCACAACATCAATGTCATCGTAGCAAAAAGGCAGCCAGGACTGGATGACGCTGTCTTGCTATTGTTTCCACCAGATGATCTCCAAATTGACATAGTTATTGGTCATGGTGCTGTGTTTGGTCCTCATGCAAAGATAATCAGTGAAAAACGAAAATGTGCGTGGATCCAAGTAGTTCACACGTCTCCAAAAGAGCTGGGTATGTTCAAAACATATTCACGACCAGTTTCAAAGAGTCAACTAAAGCACCAGCTTGAAGTCGAACTTGTTGAATTGGCTGACCTCGTTGTTGGAGTGGGAACAAAACTGAGCGACACCTTTCAATCTTATCTTCGCTTTTATAAGAAGAGTCCAGAGCGTTTTGTGAATCTCACCCCAGGCATATTTGATGACTTCTCAGACATAGAACATGATTCGACCCCAAGTACAGGAAAATTTCGAGTTTTGGTGTTTGGCCGTGGAGATGAAGAAGACTTCAGGCTCAAAGGATATGACGTCGCAGCTAAGGCTGTGGCGAAGCTTCCTAACACACTCCTTATTTTTGCTGGTGCTCATGACACAGACAATCTGAAAGAAAAGTTTCTAAGATACGGAATCCTTCCGGAAAACCTGGATGTAAGAGGCTTCATGACCAAAGAAGATTTAAGAAAGCTATTTTGTGAAGCTGACCTCGCTCTTATGCCTTCACGAACTGAGGGCTTTGGGCTCGCTGGGCTCGAAGCATTGTCTGCTGGGCTCCCTGTTCTCGTCAGTCACAACACGGGATTTGGAGAAGCGTTAAGTAAACTTACTTTCGGCAGATATTGCATAATTGACACTGATGATTTCAATGTATGGGCTAAGGCCATTAAAGCAGTTTGGGATACATGAAGGAAAACAAGACTCAAGGAAGCAAGTTTTCTGCGTAACCAGTACAGAAATGAATACAGCTGGAAGGAACAGTGCACTCAGCTTGTCCAAAAAATGGAAGCCTTGAGTGATGGTATGAAATGCCCAAATGAAATTACTAATTCTCATTTATAAGATAATGGTGTCGATGATTAATGACTAAGTTTTCTAGTTTCTACGACTTGTCATGTTCAGTTGTTCTTCGCAATGCGATTTGAATTTAAACTTAACTTATAAAATCCCGAAAAAAGCTATTTTTATTATTTTACAAATAGATTCCATGTTGCCGTGCTTTTTTTTACCTTTGTTCAGTAGTAGTTGTAGATAACATCAAGAAGTGGTAAGATCAAAAAAGTGGCACACGAGGCGCAGCCTAATTGTTTTTATATATACGGTAAAGAAGAAAAAAGGGTTTTGATGGTGGCTTAATCCTTGCGTTTGTTCTCCATCCGATCATAGATAATAACCAAACAAGATTCTGTTATAAATTCAGCTCATGATCTGAATATATCTGCATTTCTTTCATAGAAATTGCGGTTCGAAGAAGGCCTGTCACAACACAGTCCCTATCGGTAAGTGATTGCAGACAAGAGATTATAAACTGAACTCTTGATTATAAAGTTGTCATCGTAATGAGTAAATTGCTCCTGACTTTGACACTTTTGGCTGCTTTTGCTCACTAGGAGAGTAGGAAAACAAAACAGAAGATATTTGTGGTTGCTGACGAGGTCGCGAACGAAACTTTAACTAACGAAAATCTCGGTCAGAGCAACCAGACCCAGAAGACTTACGAACTACGAGACGAACTTCTACCCGCCATCTCAGTAGAGAGCAAAGATTTCGCATGCAGGGAGCACCATGAGAAACCCAGTCTGCGCGAAAGCTCAAGCCAAACCGAAAGTATTTCTGACGAGCTGGAAGTCACGTTGCGAGACGGGATTGTGCAGCTCGCCAGTAAGCCCGTTCTCTCGCTACTAAAAGTAGCGAGAGAACGGGCCGAGGAAAGGATGGTGGAGGAATTACGTATGGAGCTAACCCGAGTAAAAAAGGAGCGAGATAAAGCGGAAAGGAAATTGTGTCAGGCGAGGACCGGATACCTGAAGCTTGAAGAAAATGCAAAGTTGCGAGAAGCGCAAATGAGACAAAACGTAAACGAAGAAGTCCATGATTTAAGGACAATATGGATGCAAGAATTGCAGAAAAAGGAGACCTTTGTAGAGAGACTTCAACAAGAACTGAAAGAGGAACAGCGAGTGAGACAGCGAATGGAAGAGGATTTAAGCCAAATGACAGATAACCGTTCGAAGTTGAAAGAACAGTTGAATAAAGCACGGAAGAAAACTGAATTTTGTCGAAATGAACAACGGCGTGCTTTAGAAGAAAAGGAAGAGGAGTGTCAGCAAAAACGAATTTTGGAAGATAGGCTGAGAAGCTTAGAATCTAAAATGAAGACAGAGAGAGAAAGAAACGAGAGCACTCAAACAAGGCTACAATCAGCCCAAGAGGAATTGCGTGAATATAAGAGCTGCCAGCAAGCAGACTGGGTCATATCTCGTGAGGAAATCAGTTTAACGGAGAGAGTTTTAGGACAAGGAGCCTGGGGCATCGTGTATGAAGGAAGATTTCGCGGCTGTCAAGTTGCTGTTAAGGAACTTCATGAAGTGATTGTCTCACGTCACACTATTAAAATGTTCGAACGAGAAATGAACATCGCATTGTGTTGTCGCCATCCAAACCTCTTACAGTTCATCGGTGCCACAAACGATAACGATGGCGGCCCATTGTTTGTCACAGAGTTACTTGACATGACTTTGAGACAGCTTCTGAAATATAGGACATTAGGTGACGATGAAATAATCAACCTTGCTTTAGATATAGCTAGAGGTTTAAATTACCTTCACCTCAACAAACGGATACCTATTGTACATCGAGATATCAGCAGCTCTAACGTGCTTCTATGGAGACGGGATAATTGTTGGGGAGCCAAGCTGTCTGATTACGGGTCAGCCAATTTTGTGCGTCAGATCATGACAGTTGGGCCAGGGTCTATGATCTATGGAGCACCAGAGACACGCGATGTACATGCCCAACAGTCCACGAAGGTAAATATTAATTTTTTTGTATACCGCACAACGCTGTTCTTTTATCAATGACAAAAGTCAACATACATGTGCGAACAACATACCCAAACGAATCTAATTGCTGCGAGCAACGTGCTCTACGCCCAATATTACTAGTGCAAGCAACATTCCCAGGGCAATCTAATTGGTGCGAGCAACACCGCTTCCGACGACTAGAATGTATATTTTTTTTCCAACAAATAACGCAATGCACAATGTCCAAGCAACCGACATTCAGAGCTTATTAGGTCTCCCAGACTTGCCGGTCTATTGCAGTGGTATAAGAGGTCACTTAAAACCAGGAGTGCACCAACAAAATGAATTTTTGCAAAGTTTTACCTCTTGCAAAAGGGATGAAGGACAAAACATCACATCGCATCAACCACTTAGCTACGCCCTTGCGGTGGTAAATGTAAATCTTGCTCTTCAAAAGATAGGTTTCAATCATGAAATATTGGTTTTAATGAGACAACGGTCTAGTAAGAGCGTCCAAAACCCTGCAGTTACAACCTCTGGCTGAGTGTTATTTTGTGTGGTACTGTTCACAATTAATACATTATGTAATTGGGATAAATTTAACTGCAAATAATCAACTCACATGCAATGCTACATTTTCAAACGAATTAACTTTCAAAATCAACTGGCATTTGCTTACATACTAATAACAACAGTGCTGATGTTTACAAAACTTAAATGACAATTATATATGTACCAGCTGGGCACTTTCACCTTCAGTTCTTAGCTCTCATTCGTCAGTTTAGTCAGTGTTTCGTTATTGCTTAAGCGATTGTGCTGCCTATCCATCTTAAAGGAGCCTTAGATGTCACGCTATAGATCACTGTGTCAATTTTATATGTGTGACGATCCTCTCCAGGTTGACGTGTACAGCTTTGGCGTCTTGCTGTGCGAAATGTGTATCAGAGAACAACCAAATCTTGAGCATCGCCTCCTTCAGATTCGGAAGGTACTGGATAAAAAATTGCGGGGAATTATACGTAGGTGTGTCGAAACGGATCCAGAGGAACGACCAACCATGAGTGAGGTCATACGTGAGTTGGAACGACCCAGAAGGCCAAATAAACTTTCCCGCGTGAGAAGTTTCTTTAGCCGGAAGTAGATGGAATATATCTTTTATAGGCCTAGCACCCAAATGGATGAGAGAACTGTAGGAATCATTTTGGTTAGCGTTATATACATACAAATCTAACATACTCAATCTAATTTCAAAATTATCACAGTTTAACCGGCATGAAGCGGTCACCCATGCGGAATAGCGATGACCGCTAAATACAGGTTCTACAGAATACTATTATTATATAAACAAGACGCCTCAAGTCGTTTCCGTGGGATGCATTGGGCTATACAAGGGTAATGTGGTTCTATTTGAATGTGGTAAAATGAGGGAAATGGGAAAGACGTCTCACGTTATGAATATCGATGAGAAGGTTAGATGTATTTGCTTATAAGTGAATTGTTAGTTGCCAGTGGTGGAAAGAATCGAGTTGATCTTGTTTTAACTTATAGCCATGTAGGTTTTTTTTGTAGCACAAAGAAGTGATTTTTGCATCCAAACAAGGTCTACGCGTGTAACTTAAATTAAAATATTCACAGAAACAAGTAATGGATAACATAATGGTTTCATTAAAGTGAAGAGGAACTATAGAAAAAATGTTTGACATTAATGGGACAAAACAAAAGA